CATGCATTGTTTTATTGGATTTTTAATTATTTTTAAAAATCTGATTACTTCAGGGCTCAAGAAAGGACATTTTAAGACATCTCATTTAATTATTTTAGGTCACTAAGCACTGCTAAGTGTAATTTTAAAATACACTAAGGTTTTACTTTGAGATGAGAAAAAGATATTCAGATGAGCCTTTGATCACTGTGTGCTTTTTTTTTTCAAAGTTTAAACTTTTAATTTTATATTAGGGTATAGCCAATTAACAACACTGTGACAGTTTCAGATAAATGGCAAAAGGAGTCAGTCATACATATACATGTATTCATTCTCCCCACAAACTCCCTCCCATCCAGGCTGACACATAACATTGAGTTCCATGTGCTACACAATAGGTCCTTGTTGGTTATCTATTTTAAATACAGCAGTGATCACTGTATGATTTTAACTGGGATTTTTAAGAAGTGATACGAATTACTAATATGTACTTTGACCCCCTAAGCACGTACAAGCACTGAGTGCAACCTAAGAGGAAAATGGCGCTAAAAAGATTTTCTCAAGGTCTGTACCATCTAGAAGAAGAGGTACTCATGTAAATCACCAAGAGGAGGAGGGCGTAGCCCAACTTAAGACAGTGATCAGCAATGCTCATGGAACACTTCAGGAACACCTGCCTCACTTTAGGGAGTAGATTAAGCACTGGGAGATTCAGGCTAAATACATAACCATTAAGAACAGAAGGAGAAGGGAGCATTTCAAGCTCTTTCACTCTGCTGCTGATAAGGCTCAAGCTGGGAGACCTCCCACTTCCTCCCCTTCCAGTCACCCACCTGTTTCAGTTCATCACCATTCCAGACTGGCCAGAGGCCCTAAGGATACTGGAAGTTTCTGGAGGGAATAGGACAGGTGGGTGTGATTGACATGTACATCATGTGAGCCCTTCCCACTCATCCCATCTCCTCCCCTCCAGGGTCTGTTCAAACCTCTCTCACTATCCACATCCAACTCTATGGACAGTATCATACACTTCAACCAACCTTCACTTTCTGTTAACGACCTAGACCAACGCAGCCCCAAAGAAATACAGTGCAAGACATGTGAATCACATATGTAACTTTATGTTTTCCAAGAGCCGCATTTAAAAAAGTAAAGAGAAATTGATGAAATTACTTTTAACAATGTATTTTGTTTAAATCCAATATATCCAAAATATTAATTCAAAATACAGACATACCTCGTTTAATTGTACTTTGTTTTACTGCACTTCACAGATAATTGTGTTTTTTACAAACTGTAGATTTGTGGCAATCCTGTGTGGACCAAGATTATAGATGCTGTTTTTCCAACAGCATCTGCTCACTTTCTGTGTCACATTTTGGTAATTCTTACAATATTTCAAGGTTTTTCATTATTGTTATATTTGTAATGGTTATCTGTGATCAGTGCTCTTTGATTTAGTATAAAGATAACTCACAGAAGGCTCAGATGATGTCAGCATTTTTTAGCAATCAAGTATTTTTAAATTAAGCATATACATTTTTTAGACATAATGCTATCGTACACTTCCTAGACTACATGATAAACAGAAGTTTTATATGCCCTGGGAAACCAAAAAATTCATATGACTTGTTTTATTTTGATACTTGCTTTATTACAGTAGTCTGGAACCCAACTCGCACTATCGCCAAGGTATGCATGTACAAGCAACATAAAATCAATAATAAGCTGTATTTGTTCCTGCCATTTGCAGCAATATGAATGAGCCTAGAGAGTGTTATGCTTTGTGAAATGTTAGAGAAAGGCAGATATTGTATGTTTACACTTACATGAGAATTTAAAAAATAAAACAAACAAATCTGGATAACAAAACAGAGAGTCACAGATATAGAGAGCAAGCTAAAGGTTAGCAGTGGGGAGAGGGAAGGAAGGAGGGACCAGATAGGGATATGGGGGTCAAGAGGTACAAACTACTATATATTAAAAATAAATTACAAGGATATATTGTATAACACAAGGAACATAACCAATATTTCATAATAACTTAAAATGGAGTCTAATCTACAAAAATATTGAATCACTATGTTATATACCTAAAACTAACATAATACTATAAATCAACAATACTTTAATAAAAATAATAGAATATTTTAAAATCTTCTTTTCCTACAAATATTTGAAATCTGGTGTAAATTTTACATTTACAATACATCACAATTCAGATGAACACACAATTGTAATACATCACAATTCAAGTAATCAGTAGTCACATGTGGCCTGTGGCTAGTGGGTATTGAATTGAACAGCACAAACCTAGACTTTCACTCCAGTGAAAATGGTCCCAAACCTTTACAATGACTGATTATTGCTGGATAAAGGGATCATGGGTGGTGTTTTAAAAATAACTTTGGCTTACCTGTATCTTTTATTGTCCTCCAACAAACACAGATTGATGTGTTTATGTATTTTTGAAACTTGTGATTGTAAGTGTCTTTGACATATAAAGAATCTTCACATTGATGCTCTAATGCAAGTTATTGTTTTAATGGTACATGTGGCATTGGGCATCCCAGGTGGTGCAGTGGTAAAGAATTTGCCTGCCAATGCAGGAGACTAGGGTTTGATCCCTAGGGGTCAGAAAGATCTCCTGGAGAAGGAAATGGCAACCCACTCCAGTATTCTTGCCTGGGAAACCCCACAGACAGAGGAGCCTGGTGGGCAGCTATCAGTGAACTCACAGAGACACGACAGAGTGGCTGAGCAGGCACACACATGTGGCATTAACACTTGTCTTCACTTCAACCTGTCACTTCATACTTAGTTCCTATCTGTTTCACCACTGCAAATTATTCTCCCAGTTGCATGCAGCCCACCCACCTTCTCCTTCTGCAGATCACTGGGTTGAAGGAACAGAATGCCCAGAAGAAATATTTCCCATACTCTCAACACCTCTGCAAAAATACCATGCACAATTTCTAGTTCTTCTTTAGTAGAACTAGGGTCACTGGTATATGACTCTGAGAACTTAAATTCAAATTTGAGAAAAAGCTGCTGTTGTCAGTGCTGCTTCAAACTTATTTTAAAATAGGTTTGTTATTTACTAATTATTTAAAGTTAGATATATTCAAAAGCTATTATATGCCCCCACCTTGGCTTCTAAAAAAAAAAAAGCAACATAAGCAACTAAGTTTTTAGTTGTACTTCTCACCTCAAAGATTCTGACATAAAATATAAAAACCATAAAATTATGGTTTTGGTGCTTAAATATAGAAACAGTCTAGGCTCTGGAAAATGGGAACATGAGGTGGACACAGCTTAAGAAGTTAAATGGACTTAAGTTAGGAAACTAAGGTGTGAGCGCTTACTTTAAATACCTACAGATTTTAAAATTTATGTTAGTTTGGTTTCATGAAGTGTTTGCCATTCTAACAATAATACCCTTTTATCCTAGGCTTTGGAAGGTGGCGTGTGGAATCCTAAAATGGGGAGTTCTGACACCTGAATTTCAGTTCTCACTGCCAGCTGCCAACCAGCTACATGACCTTGGGAGCAGTCCATTCACCCTGCTGGATTCAGCCTCACCGGCTGTGAAGAGAAGGTTGACAGCAAAGCCCTTTCTCAGGCTGCTTCCAGCTTGCCATTCCTGACCTTTGCACTAATCTCTCTCTATCCCATTATCCCTGAAACACTTGCCTCCTCATGCATCTCCTCCTTGCTAAAGGAGAAGATGGCTGGCAGCACAGCAGTGAAACGGGAAAGAAAGGCTGTTTTATTTTAAAATCTCAAATGAGTCACTTTTCAAGAATGTATCATTCTCTGGTGCCTGAGTGCTTGGTCATGATGTCAAATCAACACTTCCAATAAGACTTGCTCTAAGAACCTGTTATTTGTTCCATGTACTGTTCTTAGATGATGTTTATACCAGACATTCATCTCTTTTAAGAGCCACTTGTAGGTACAAAACAACACATAAGTTATCAAACAGCTATCAGCAGCCAGATAAAAATCACAGTTTTAATCAGATCTTTGCACCAGCTTTTGATAAATTAGGATAATCACAGCTTCCCACACTTCCCACATAACCTCTCCAGAACCTTGCAGCACTCTAAAATCTAGCCTGCTCCAAGAATCACGTCCTACTCTTTAGGGCTGGCTGTATCCATACCCAGGAAAGCTCTCCTTCCGGTAGACCCTCTCCCCACCCCCACCAAAGCTTAAGTCAGGGGCAGCTGATGTTAACTCTGGTCTGTGCAGATTCCGCCAGGCCTGATTTTTCATGCTGCCATTTTGAATTAATAGAAGTCTCCTCTGCAACGGATGCATCTTCTAATTAGGCTTGGAACAGAGGAGGCACCGGGTCACACACTCACACACATACACCACCGGGGAGCTGGACATAAGCATAATTCAAGACACTTGCAAGCCAGAATTAAACAGCAAATCCGGAAAGACAGTATTAGTTAACAGAACCCTACCAAGACAGTGTGGAGCCACAGCAAATGACTGTTTCCTTACATGCGCCTGGGTTTAATCGACAAATTTAACCCCTAAATCTGAGTTCTCGTCAATTTCTCTAAAGTTCAAGCGTCCCTCCCGCTTTGCGTCCCTCCCACTCGTTTCAGACCTCAGGAGTAATGTCGCCCAACAATCCGCGATCCGACAGACCAGCGAACGGAGGGCGCAAAGGCAAGCTGAAGTGCATAATCATTTCAGAAATACGAGTGCCTTTGACCACTAAGTGCCCCAGAAAGAGCCACCCCGTTAACTTGCCCAGACACCCCCCATCCCCAAGAATCTCGCTGGGTGTGGCTTGAGGGTGGGGTGGGGTGTTGTGACAAGTCCTTCGGCCCGGGTAGACTCCAGCAATAGTTGACACGTTTGCCCTTAGCGGGAGGGTAGTCCTCTGGTCATGATTCGGCGACCACAGACCGGTTTAAGCGGGCAGAGCCGGGCCCAGGGCAGCGGGCCCGCCGGCAGCCATGTTCGCGCGAGCCGGCCGGCGCGGCAGGTGCGTTACCTACCGAGAAGGTGCCAGGCCCGCTCGGCCACCAGCGATGCGCCAGTGCGAGCCGGGATCCCCCGGAGCTGGGGGGTGGCGAGGGCGCGGGTGGCACTCGCGGTACACACCCCAGCGGGCCAGCAACTGAGACTTCAGGCAACGGAAACACAGGAAAAGCGGCCTGGGCGAGGGAGAAGAATTAAAAAGAAGTGGCTGGGGTAGGGGGGGAGGAGGATGAGGGGGGAGGATGAGGTTGGGGTGTGGAGGGCAGGGGCAGGTTCCATCCAGGCTGCAGTGCTCGCGCCCTGGGGTGGGGCATCCCTCTCCTGCGCCCCCGCAGTCTACAGCCCAAGTCACCTTCCCCCACCCCCAACCCCGGACTGAGGCCCCCCTGTCTCGTGATCCCCTAGAGACCCCACCCCCCCACCCCCACCCCAGCCAGCATCCGCGGGATTCTGCCCCAGGTAGCGCCACCCGCGGGTCTGGAGAAGCAGCCGGAGCCGATCAGAGGCACACGGCGGACAGGGATGGCGGATCAGGGTGAAACCCGCCGGGGGAAGCGGCTGCAGACGCCCTGCGCTCCCAGGGGTGCCCTGCACGGCTCACCTGGGGGGCGGCGGGCTCCGGGCTCTGGGCTCTGCTCTGCGGTGCCGATGCCGCGGCCGGCGAGCGTGCGCGTGCTGCGGCTGCGGCGATTACTGTGGCGACGTCGGGGGCTGCAGCTGCAGCGGCGGAGGCGGCCGTCGGGCGCTTCCCCCACCCCAGACTCCCAAAGCTCCGGGCCGCCGCCCCCAGCTAACAGCTGGCCGGGCTCACGTGACCGCGGGGCCCACCCTCCCTGCCGCCGCCGCCGCCGCCGCCGCCGCCTCCTTCCCCACACCCTGGCCCCGGACCGCGCCGCGCCGCGCCCGCCCTGGGCCTGATCCCGGAGGGCGCCTGGGAGCAGAAGGGGAGGCTCAGAGGGCGAATCTCACCGAGGAAAGTGGCTCCCCTTTGCTCGATCTTTAATTGTTGATCACAGCCGGGCTTGCGTCTCTCTCTCTCTCAAGCGAGACCTCGGGCTTTAAGGAATCAGACAGACCCCACTTTCTCTGGCGCCTCTCCGGGATTCCTCCGTTTCGGTTGCTACGTGCGGGCCTCTGTGCCTAAGCGAGATTTCTCCGCTGAGAAACGTGTCCAACACTTTGTTGACTCATATGTCCAAGCCGACTCCCTCCCTGGGTTTAAAGGTACGGTTCTGCGCCATGTTGATAAGCCAGAGCCTGTGTCCCATACTTAAGACACTGAAGCCCAAAGAGGTTAAGTAACTCGCCCAAGGTCACATAGCAAGTAGCGAAGCCAAGATCCCAAACCTAGGTGAATAAATCTGTAGACAGGTACCGAGTGTGCTGATGCTGGCGTCAAGGTCAGGACATGACCATCCATCCGTCTGCTACTAGAACAGACTCTACCTTTTATAAACTAATAAGAAAAGACCGTGTATACCTATGGCTGATTCATGTTGATGTATGCACAAACCAACACAATATTGTAAAGCAATTATCCTTCAATTAAAAATAAATAAATTTTAAAAAATTCATAGAAAGAAAAGATCACCTCAAAAGATAAGAGGTGGTTCACAGGAAAACATTCTGCAATACCCCTCAGGCACACGAAAAATATATTCAAGCTCCCTTAACTGTAAAACAAATACAGATATAAAGTAGCGTTTTCCACCTGTCAGAGTAGCAAAAATCAAAGTTTTGTAACTTCCATAGGGGATAACTTGGCAATGCCTCCCCAAATTACAAATGCATACATAGTCTTTGACCTAAAGATTCCATTTCTGGAATTTATCCTACAGGTATACCAACACAAGTGTGAAATGATATGAGTACAAGGTTATTCCATTGCTACATCCTTTATGCTAGCAAAGATTACCAAGCCTATGCCCATCAATAGAGAACTGTTCAAATATGTAACTGCACAGTGTACAATAGAATGCTATCCAGCTATTAAAAAAAATGAGTACTGATCTATGTACTGATATGAAAGATTTCCAATCTATAGTAAGGGTGGGGGAGCCCTGTGAAGAACACTGTGTAAATGTGTTACCAGTTGCGGGGGGGCGGGGGGGAAATATGCCTGTACTCATTTGAAAACACACAGACTATCTTTGGAAGGATACCTAAGAAACTGTAATAGTAGATGTCACCAGGGAGAACTGGGTTACTGAATGTAGGAGAGAGAAGGAGATCTTTTTTTTAACATCTTTCAGTGTTAAGCCTGTGGTTCTGGTTTGCCAGGAGTGAAAGAATAGTGGGAGAGGGCTGGGGGAATCAAGGCAAATACTGCAGAATAGAGCGGTGGTCACAGAATCCTGGAGCACAAAGGGACCTGATTATGCATTTAATCCAACCATGGAAACTGTCCTTTTAACTTTTATCTTTATAACATAGTAGATTTTGTTTTTGTTTAGATAGACTATAATTGAATCTTCATTCAGTCAGACACTCTTTGCCTTTTAATTGGAGCTCTTAGATCAGTGGCTCTTAAACCTGGGGACATTTGGCAATGTCTGGAGACATTTTTGTTGTCAGGATGGCAGAGGTGAAGGAAGTCTCTACTGGCACCTAGCACACAGAAGCCAAGGATGCTATTAAATATCCCAAAGTACAAAATACAGGTCCCCACAACTAAGAACTGTGTTGTGCTGTGCTAAGTCTTTTCAGTCGTGTTGGACTCTTTGCGACCCCATGGACTGTAGCCTGCCTGGCTCCCCTGTCCCTGGGATTCTCCAGGCAAGAATACTGGAGTGGGTTGCCATTTCCTCCTCCAGGGGATCTTCCCCACCCAGGGATCAAACTTGAATCTCTTATGTCTCCTGCATTGGCAGGCGGGTTCTTTACCACTAGCACCACCTGGGAAGCCCCAACTAAGAATTTTCCAGCCCTAAATGTTGGTAGCATCAGGGTTGAGAAACTCAGGTGTAGACCATTTCTATTTAATGTAATTATCAATATGATAGGTTTTCAATGCAACATCTTGCTATTTCTATTTATTGTGTTCTTTTTTGTTTGCTTTTTTGCTCTTTCCTTTTTTTTTGAAGAATTGAGTATTTTTCATATTTCATTTTACAACCATCATTGTAAATAATGAGAAAAACAAAGTTCAGTTTAGTTGCTCAGTCATGTCCGACTCTTTGTGACTCCACGGATTGACAGGGGAGCCTGGAATGCTGAAGCCCATGGGGTCGAAAAAAAATTATTAGCCATACTGGTTGTTTCATTTTATTTTTTATTATTTTCCTAGAATTTACAATATGCATCTTAAACTTATCACTGTCTACCTTCAAACAGTACAATTTCAGATATAATGCAGAACACTTTCAACCGTATACCTATATTTCACCCCATTTTCACTGCTATCGCTGTCATTTGTATAGGTGCAGTTTATAGGATAATGAGCTCTTTCAAGTTTTGTCTGAAAATGTCATCACTTTACTTTCATTTTTGAAACTTTTTTTTGGCAACATAATTTTTGGTTGAGAGCTGCATTTTTTCCAGCACTTTAAAGGTACCATTCTATTGTCATAAATATTCTGTTGTCAAATAAGACTTGCAGAGCTGCTGAAGGAAGGTCTGTGTATTTCTCCCTCTGTACATAATATGTCCTTTTTTTCTTCTATGGTAGATTTTAAGAGTTTTTTCTTTAACACAGGTTTTGAGCAATATGGTTATAATGTACCTTGGTCTGTTTTTTTGTTTGTTTTTGTTTTTCCTATGTTTATCCCATTGGGGCTTACTGAGCTTCTTGGAGCTGTACGTTTATAGTTTTCATCAAATTAGGAAACATTTTGGCTGTTATATCTTTAAATATTTTACCCATTGTACCCTGCCCCTCCCAAATTCAGAGGCCCCAATTATAATTTATTAGACTACTTGATATTGTCCCGTAGATCACTGAGAATCTGTTCTTTTCCTCTCCCTACTACTGTTTATACTCTCTTCATTTTGAATAATTTCTGCTGATACTTCTTCAAGTTTTCTTATCTTTTCTTCTGCAGTCTCTAATCTACTAATGGTTAATACTGTCAATGAAAGTTTATATTTCTCTTTGTTTTTATTTTTTCAAAGGGACTTTTACACTTCTCCTGGCCTGAGGAATCCCTTAATCCCTCTTCATCCCCACAGTAGACATCTCAGGTCTACAGACCTCACTTGGCCTGGTTGAGAGCTGGAACTGACCATCTCTTACAGCTTCAGAAACTAGGCAGAGTGAAGCAAAGTTGCACAGTAAAAGGAATTAAGTGCCACCTGTCAATGAAAGTTTTATGTAAGATACTTTATTCTTTATCTCTCTTAAGTTCTATTCTTCTTTTTATACTATCCATTTCTCATACACATTTTCCTTTAAATATCAGATCATATATATTGTAATATCTGTTTTAAAGCCCTCATATGCTAATTCCGCCATTTCTATTTTTAGTCTTTTATTGGTTGTTTTATCTCCTGCTTCTTTGTCTCTTTTGTAATTTTTCATTGGATGTCAGTCTTTGTGAATTTTATGTCGTCGAGTGATGGATTTTTTCTTACATTTCTTTAAAGGTTGTTGGACTTAGTTCTTAAGAATCATTTTCACATGAGCCATGTTTATAAACTGTTTAGAACCTTTCTAGGGTAGCTTTGGTCTTCCCGGGGTGGCTCAGTGGTAAAGAATCCACCTGCCAGTGGCAACCCACTCCAGTATTCTTGCCTGGAAAATTCCATGGACAGAAGAGCCTGGTGGGCTGCAATCCTTGGGGTTGCAAAGAGTCGGACACGACTGAGCATGCCCACAGGGTAGCTTTACCTCTGTGACTGCTTTGGTTTTTAGAAAGTATGATTCATCTATTGGCTCTAATGAATGTTCCATGTAATCAGCCAGTTGATTCTGGCTGGTAGGAATTCGGGCAGTTCTGTTCTGTGCGAGCTTTGAGAATTTTTTGTTGCATAGCTATGCAACAGTTGTTCTTTCCTCAGGAGTTATTCTTTGCCCCCCTTTGTGGTGACTTACCATATGCATGCACAGATTGGTCTTCTCTCAGTGACTCAAGGAAA